AGCTTGTAACGGCATAATTACAAGCGGAGAACGGAGTAACTTGACGTCACAGCAGGCATAACAACAGCCGGTGTTTCTCCTGAGTGTTTTCCCCGGGAAACAAACGCAATACACACAAATGCAAAAATACACACACACACACACACACACTCGTGAGCTTTCCCCAGACCAGTAATCCAAACGAAAATATCTTACCTCCGTAGTATTTTGATCATTTGCTCCGCTAATAATCAGATCGATGGATTCCAGAGATTTTTCTCAAAAATGATGACTCCGAAACAGTCAGTGGGCACCACTTAACAGCCAATCAGAATGAGAATATGTTTCACATGTGACCACATATATATAGTCTATGCATGTGACATATTCAAATTGCGAGTGATTGAGTGACAGATGAAGGTTGTTTAGGAGAAAAAGTTTGAAAAGAAAAAGTTTGAGAGTGGCGCTCGGAAAAGGAAATTGTTGAGGGAAAAGTAGTTTTGAGATAAGCAGCTATTACAAAAAATGCCGAAGCTTACAGTTTATTTTTAGCCTGTAGGCCAGGATGAGGAGGAAGGACAGATGAGTTCTCGAGCGGTAGCGGTGCCGGCCGCGGGGCCTCGGAGCCAAGTAAGCCGTCTGGTTCTGATAGCGATGGAGTAGGCGGGAGAGGAAAAAACAGACAGGAGGGATGTTGGAGGAGATGGAGAAGACGACGAGGACTTTCTACGTGGAGGGGAGCCAACGGCAACCGGACAAATACATGAGGGAGGCCCGATACGTCACTCATCTGGAGGAGAGGACCAGGCGTGCGTAGAGCAGAGTGGAGAAGTGCGATCACAGAGCCTGCCGAGGCTATAAATGACTTTGATTTGTTGTTTAAATAGGGGGCCTACAAAACCAAAATCAGCCCCAGGGCCTGATGGCAGGTTATGGCGGGCTTGTGTGCGGGTAGCGGGGCGGGTTCGGTATTGCACGTCGCGGGTGCGGGGCGGGAGCGGGTCTTGAAAATCAGACCCGTGCAGGACTCTGCCTTGAGTCTGGTGGTTTTAGTCCGGATGCTGCGGTAGAGCCTGCCAGACGGCAGCAGACTGCAGTTTGTGGCTGGGGTGATGGGGGTCTTTTATAATCATGAGGGCTTTCTTCCTGAGCCGCTGGGAGAAAAGGTCCTCCATGGATGGCAGCTTCATCACCCTCTGTAAAGCCTTACGATTGAGGGCGGTGCAGCCAGTCAGGATACTCTAGAGTCTATATGGTGCACCTCAGGACATGCAAATATGTTTGTTGTCTACTACAAAGACAACCAGTTATCTTAAAACTAAATATATATATTTAGTTTTACATTGTGATGCAAAACAGCCTGTTTGTGTATTAATTCATTGCTTTAAAAAAATTGTTTTGTTTCCTTTCATTTAAAATCGGCAACCGATTCAGAGAATCATCCAGCTAATGTTTGCTAGCTAACTAGCTAACTAAACAGCACACTGACAGGGTAATCATAAAACGGCCTCTAGGTTAACTTATTTTCTACATGTTAACACTGTGGACATTCATTTTCTTCAGCAGACAGTAGCTAGCTGTTTGACAGATACAGCCCACTCATATATTGTTTTATATCAAATTAATTGATATTAGCTGTACACTTAACGAATATAATAGTTTTTTATGGACAACTTCACCAATAAATCTCGTCCAACCTTGCTGCTGTCACTCCTCGGCTCTTGGTAGTTCAGGCAATGATCAAACCTGGCAACTCGGAGCTTCCTGGCAGCTGTCAATCAAAGTCCAGTGGCTCCGCCCCTAAGTGTCAGAAACTTTTCGCGCGCGCAGACAGACTCCGCGAGTGAGTGAGGCTGAAACTCCCGCGAGCGAGCAGGAGGGCTGTCTCGCTCGCGGGGGTTTAATCTGCGCGCGAGGGTCATTTTATGCGCGTGTAAAAGCATATTTTTCGCTCGTGAGTACCTTGTTTTGCGAGCTAGAATATTGACCCAATTCTGGCTCCATACCCCAGGTCCTTTCATCAGACGGGCAGCGAAAGAACGAGCAAGACCCATTGCTGGTATGATTACAACCTGGTACAAAGCACATAGGCATCTTGTTAAAGTTATCTTAACTTAGCTATCTCTTATATTTAGTGGAGGAAAACAATTAGGACATCATGGGATTTGTAATCTTTCTAGTTGCGTATTCTTCAGTCTTATATTTCAACAGTTTTACGACAAACTGACTTTTTTTACATGGAAATTTAAGATTGACAAAGATATGTGTAATTAGTGGCACAATTCATCCAAGGGAGGGACTTCGCCTCTAGGACAAGCTATGTCAAAATGATGTGAATCACAGGCAACCATAGGGTGTAAAGAATGAGTTATTTTTCTTATTTATCCATTTTCATCATAACATGTCATCCTATCATCTCTATGGTTCTATGGTATGGTATCCTGGTTAAAGCATGATCACTTTGTTGACTAGATCTATGTGCATTAAAGTCCACATACCTGTATTGTACACTAGATGGTGGCATCAACCTTCCTTCATTACTCTGTGCTCCACTTAACAAAGTGGTAAACTCATAGGTTGCAAAAACACGTCGAAGTTAAACTGACTAACAACCAAGGTTAAGGCTGTGTTCAGATCTAAAATGTTAAGTAGCAATATTAAGTTGAAATCAGCAGGAAGTCCTAAATGTAGGGGGGGGGCGGCAGCCTGCCCGTTCCTGTTGTTGCGGGGTGGGAGTTTCCAACTATACAGCTGAAGGGAAGCACCACAGGATGTCCTTATCCTCATTCCTCAATGATAGAGTTACTCTGGGTTTGTGTGTGTTGCTTTGTTTCTCATGTGTAGGTTTGTAATAAATAACAATGTGTCAAATATTCTGTGATTTCCTTCACTTTAATATAGTTACTGTTCAATTTATTAATATTGCACTAGTTGTCAAAAGGACACCCTTAAACTGATTCTTGTAATACAACTTTTTGATGATATTTCATACAAAGGGGCATGATTCATGACTATGACTGTCTTGTAGTAGACGACATAATATTATTAGTTTATTCTTTATTTTATTATATGGCAATTGTTCCATGGTTTAAATGATGTCTGGAAATATGTCAGGGGAAATATCCGTTGAATATTATTGTGCAGAATAATTACATATTTATTTGGGCTAAAAAAACGAAACAATATTTTAAAGTTTATTTCCAGATTTGTCATAAATTCCTTGCAAATCTGCACACATTTGCAGATACAAATGGTATAATTATTTGTCTACAGCAATGATTGAACAGTAATGTTTTTCATTCAATAATGTTTGAACATTTTATGCGTTTCATTGTGTGGAAGAAGTCTCTTTCCTGTTCTTGTCATTCAATTATTTGTGACAATGTTACCTCATCTTGTAAGTGATAACATATAAGTCATCTCTCAACAATTTGAAAAAAACCCACATTTGAGTAGGTCATAGGAACTCAAGGACTTAACTACAGGCTGTTTTGTGTAATTATCCGACAGAAAAATGTAGAAGTTGGAAAATACTTATTTCTGTAATGTTTGACATTATTATTTTTGTTAATAATTCCAAATAAATAGTTGAATTGGAAAATACCCCAACGTTAGGAGACTTTACTCAGCATAGAAAACAAACAGCAGTAAATAAACCCAGATTAGACAGATTTATTTGTTAGAGCAAAGTAATCTGAATTGAAAAGTTATAGCAGTTCAATAGAAACATACAGTTCCCCCCCTTAAGTAATCATTACATTTATTTTAAATATAAAGTGGTTTGGATAATCTGGATAAACTATGGTTTTGTTTCTAGCCTTTGTGATGGTCTAATTATTGTTGTAGTGATGTTGCCATGTTTCCAAATCATTTGTTGGGTACACTGATAAAACATGTAGAGATGGCATTAAAAAACTGCAAAACAAGACTTAATTTGCAACGTGTCATTGTGGGTTCTTACCCTGTAAACCAGGTTGATGTCAGCAGTAACAGTAAACCAAAACAAAGCAGAGGCTAAAAACCAAAACACTGAGCTGAAACTCACTGAAGCTGAGATTATATATTCTGCATCTGTAGATTTTTGAGTCCATGGTATATGTGACATTAATTAAAGGGATATATTCACACGTTTTTTTAAATACATTTACAAATACAATCATGACACATAATGGAGACATGTGAAATGGGACACCCAAATAAGCTATAGGAAGTTTGAGAATAGGCGCCCAGACAATAAAACATAACATATTTACATATATCATTAATAAATATAGAATTGAGAGAGTTCATGTATTGTTCCATTAAAACCCCCAAAATACCCCACACTGCATTTCAGAGGAAAGTCAACTTGTGTCCATGCGAACATCTAAGTAAGATCGGGAGTTTAACCAAGACTTCTGCACAGCTGATGAAAACAGAATTAGGGGATCATTCTTTGTGGTTTTGTCACTATGAGCATTTGATCCGAAAATGGATTAGTGCAGCTTAAGATCTGGGTCTGTTGTTGTCCATATATTCTTTGGACAACAAAGTATTTCCTCAAATGTACTTCATCATGGTGGGTAAATGTGAACAGCCTTCAGAGCGTCTTACTGTTAAACCTTCAGAGGATCCTGATCCACTGACACTTCTCCAGCACGGGTCATCAGAGGAGGTGCATGCAGCTCTAAGTGCAGCTCTATGAAGGAATGAGTGTGACAGCTGCTGGGGGAATCCTACTACACTATCAGGTCACATGGTACACACAGACACACACACACACACACACACACACACACACACACACACACACACACACACACACACACACACACACACACACACACACACACACACACACACACACACACTCTATCCCTCTGATCCCTCCACCCCTCCCCTCTGTCTCTCACTAATGCTGTGTACAGTGAGGGAGGGGAAAAGCAGGAAGGAGGAGGAGGGGGGGCAGCTGAGAGAGCCAGAGGAGGGAGGAAAAGGAGAGGCAGTGTGTGAGCCCAGATTACAACCCAACACATACTGGAACAGGGAGGACCGGAGCGTGAAGGACATAAATAAAAGGATGTAACCTGCCCTGACTCTGTGTCAGGAGGAAAAGAAGGGAGTGCATCCAGGTTGGCAGAGGGCGGAAGAGTGAGAGGAAGGGGGAGAAAAAGAAAGAGGAGTATTTCCAAGAGCGCTTCAGTGGACTGTCAGTGCTGTCACAGGAGAGGAGGAAGAGGAGGAGGAGGTGATGTGAGCGATCGTGGGGGTTTGCAACGCACCAGAGACACGAGTGGTTTAATCCTAAAGTGTGTGTGTAAAGGGAACTCCCCCCACACCCCCCTCATCATCAAACAGCATCCACCCACAACCAACCTGAGGTTTCACAAGCCATGCTGAGGACCAGGAGCAAGTCCTGCTGAACACCATGGCCCAGGTGAGGGGACTCACACACACACACACACACACACACACACACACACACACACACACACACACACACACACACACACACACACACACACACACACACACACACACACACACACACACACACACACACACACACACACACACACACACACACACACACACACACACTCTAATTATCAGGAGAAGCCTTCTGAGATACTTCACTTTGACATTTTAGGCATGTCTGCAGGTCTTAAGAGGAACTACTGAATGTGAATTGTTATTGTTGTGTCAAAACATTAAAATGTGAGTTCTGTTTTGTGTTTTGGCTTAACGTCTGTGAAACCATGCCTCAATCATGAAACAATTAATCATGTTTCCATGCTAGATTATTACGATTAAGCACTCTTTCAATCCATGATGAGAGAGCCCTAAAGTTGTTCTGAAATTTGAATTCTCCAACCTTTTCCGTTGTCTAAAGGAATATTACATTTTTTGAACATTTTATAACGTCAGCTAAGAGCCGAAGTTGCTGTCAACTTCTGTGGTACGGAGAAAGTCAAACTGTACAGACAACATTGATATATACGTGCCATTTTCTATTTAGCATTAATTATGAACCATTAGCTCCTCTACACCATTCATCATACAGGAGATTCAGATTGTGTTCCACCTGAAACACCTTCAGTTCCCTCAGATGAATTCCTGGCTGTAGCAACTTGAATTCAGCCAGCACTAACTCCAGCACCAGGATTCTGAACGTCATACAGGTCAGAACCATCAGCCTGCCCTGCAGTGATGAGTGACTGACAGGTGCTCTGAGGTCACTTCCTCCTTTTCCATTTTCTGCAGGTGGCAGCCAGCGTTAAAGTGCATCGTCAATAAACTGAGATCTCTGATCTGCTAGGGAGCTTTGAAGGAAACCCACTGACAGAGAAGAAGGAATTTCGTTAAAAAAAGTTGATGGTATACACAGGCTGTCCATACGGAATGAATTTGAAATCAAGGCCTGTCTTTAATATATACCTGCTTAAACAAAGGCCTGTAACCCTTTTGCAGTTGAGGTCATTTGTGAATTTAAAATAGTCCGATTTGGGATGTGAAAGTGAGTCTTAGCATGCGAAGATGTTAGCAACGCTAGAGTCTACACATCATAAGTTCAAACACTGCCATGGAAATGTTACAACCTCAATAAAGTCAAATCCACATATTTAGTGCCTTACATTACATGTCATTTTGTTAAAGGCTTTTATCCAAAGCGACTTACATACATTCAGTATTGTGGTCAATCCCCACAGGAGCAATTTGGGGTGAAGTGTCTTACCAGTGATGCAAACACAGGTATGGTGAAAAAAGAGAAAACTATTCGAAGCAGAAAAAAAACAGCGTAATATACCATCTGACAATAATGCTTCAATGGCTGTTCTTTATAATATACTCAGATCAATAGGAGACAGAGATGTTAAGTTATAAATCATGGGTTTTTATTGTTATTTACAGCAGGGGTGGGGAACCTTTTTCCTTTCAATTTTTACAACATCCTGCGAGGGCCGTACAAATTATTGAACTCAACCTCTGCTTAAAAGCTAGCTAACCAGATGCTAATAACAACACGATTTTGTCCCTTCAAACGTGACAGTTACACGGTATTGTTAACCTATGTTAACCAGTGGAGAAAATGCCAAGAAAATGCTACCCCGACGGTCGGTTGTTATTGTCAATATTAATATAATAATGATTTTTTTTTTAATGGTCACACTCGATTACACCGATTTTCTTGTTGCCCCAGCTGGTCGACACCTCTTTTAGCAGAAACAAAGGCTACATTAATGTATTAAATCAATGGTAATCCATGCGTGTGGATGTGGAATTAACCGACGTGACGTTGTGCGATTGCGTTGCCAGGCAACAGCTTTGGTTCATGTTAATTTACAAACTCTTCAACTACAACCGTAGTTATATTTAAAAAAATGTTAGAAGGCCTCATGAAATACTTTGATGTAAATTAAAATGTAAATGTGAAGGAATGTGTGTATAACAAAATACATCTGTCATAAACGAAACCGGAAACAGACGAAGGCAAAATCCTCAGCTCGATGATTGGATGGTTTAGCCGCAATGCACGCTGGGATTTGGTGTTTATGCGATGTGAAATCCGAAAACATTTAAAAAAAATAAAATAATACTTTATTCCGAGTGTGCTTGCTTTTCTCTTTGAAAGTCATCACATAACGGCATTGTAATACACGGTTCGGCTGCATGAAATATTACATATCTGCTGTAGTTCTCTATTTATAGAGCCCTGATGAGAAGACTTCTAGACAAGCAGGAAAAACTGCGGCCAAAACTGAAAACGTGAGGTGGATCATAAATATATCAGTAGTTAAACAACATCTTACATTTCTTTTCACACAATACGTCTCCTTGCAGTATCAACACTAATTCGGCTGACTTTTATATTTGATCCAATTGGTAGATAGGCTGTATTTACACCATAACCGTGCACAGCTGATATAAAGGGACACCTGGTGATTAAAGCACGTTATTGAATTTTATTATTTTATTATTAGATATTAATAGGATCCCTATAAAGTATATTCATTACACGTTATTCTCTACTAATAGTTAATTAAAGACTGTATATAATGACTATTTTGCACATCCCTTTCAAGATTTCAAGATTTTCTAAGGTTTATTGACATATCATATAGGCCTACGGTGTAGTTATGCAAAGAATGAAAAACTTGGGTCGCAGGTTCCTCAACAATGCATTACAAGACATCTATCAATATGTGTGTATACCTCCACCATTAAACTGTCATATTCTGAACATTTCTTATACTATCTACATACATCTTATAAGAGTATAATACATATGTATAATATCAGTTAGAATAAGTGCTTAAACATAGTTAACATTGCAGGAAAGCAATATATTAGACGTTAAGTACTTTGTCAGGCTTAATATTTACCTGTAGATACAAATGTCACTGTGTGTGCTGTGTGCTCTGCATGTGTGACCATTAAAGAGGGTTTCATCCCTCCATATTCTTCTTCTATATCCCCAAAGCTTTTTTCTTATTCAAAAGAAGACCTTAACCTAAAGTATTCTTTAATGTTTAAATTAAGCCTTATTAGTTTGTCTGTTTTGCACATCCTCCTATTAATATCTAATAATACAAATAATAAAATGCAATAACGTGCTTTAACCACTAGGTGTCCCTTTATATCAGCTGTGCACCGTTATGGTGTAAATCATGGATGTATAATAAGAACTGGATACAGCGTGGGAGGCGGGGCCTCATTCATTCCTATGAGAGTTGCTCAATGGCGCATGATGACAAAAAGGCCCAACTTTTGAGAGAGCGAAACGTCACAGATTACCCGGCATGCCTGAGAAGTACCCGTATGTGCGCTCATAGAGCATGCGCAACTTTAACCACGCCGCCCAAAAGGCTCGTTCACATTAAGCACGGAATTTGCATACACGTAACAGCACCGCGCGTTCATGACAGCATGGTACTGGATTTATGTTAACGAGGCGGCAGTTAGCAGCTAGCGGCTAGCTAGTAAATTATGCTAAGTTACACATCAATCGTTATGTACTTTTATATTACGCTGACATCAGGATCTAGTGATATCCAAGCAACAGAGCTTAATTTAGTATGATACTTGTGTGGGTTGTACATGAAACCACTTGGTAATATATAAAAATGTATATGTTGAAGCCTGTTATGATCAATTGTGAGTTAAAACTTTATCTAAAAAGTAAAGCTGGTGATGGATTACTGTGGTGGAGTTAAAATAACAATAGCCTATTTCTTTTTGAAATGTGATGGAGTAAAAGGATAGTAACTGTGATTATTCATGTTAAGTAGCTCACAAGTAACTAAAACAATTGCAATAAGAAGCTACAGGAACGTTAATCTACATCGGTAATATTAACTTTATTTAATACAACATTTACGGTACAAGATTTACATCATACAGCCCATGTAGTATAATATTTTACAAAGGATGAATTACAGCAAACATGTGCAATATATCCATTATTACAGCTCCGTGGGCTGGCAGTAAGGCGATATGGTCCGTTGTTATTGTGCATCCATGGGTAAAGAGAAACTCATGTAGTACTGAACACGTAACTTGAACGTGCCGGGCGGCGCGGTCCCGTGGGTTAGATGCGCGTTCATAATGCCGAGGGAAATAACTCTCAGAATAACGTTATTAGCACATTTTGACAACTTGAGGAACGAATGTTTTTAATAAGGGCTATACAAACGTTCATACTGGGTAGTTTATTTAGTTTAAAAAAAATTATCCAACGAATTACAGACCACTCTTTCCCCATGTAATACAATGGGAAAAAGTGTTTCCGGGCCCAGCTACCTAAAGGAAGTGTAGTACCGCCGTTTGACCAGCACGAATATTCTCATCAGAGTCCGGCGCATTTCCTGGGGGCTTGGTGTAAATACAGCCTATCTACCAATTGGATCAAATATAAAAGTCAGCCGAATTAATGTTGATACTGCAAGGAGACGTATTGTGTGAAAAGAAATGTAAGATGTTGTTTGATTGCTTATATATTTATGATCCACGTCACGTTTTCAGTTTTGGCCGCAGTTCCTCCTGCAGTCGAACCGTGTATTACAATGCCGTTATCTTCACGTCTCCCAGCATGGTAAATCGTCACATGTTCACGTCTTGCCGTGATACCGGGTTGCCTTACTGCCTCCTATTGGACTGTAGTGTGGAACTTTTGCTGAAAATATAAAAAGTTCAAGTTAATAATAATAAATAAATACAATTTAAAAAGATAGGCCAAAAATACACAAGCTATTTGCTCAATTATTCAGGTCTCTGTGAAGAAATTGATTAAAATATTTTGTATCTGCCTTTCCTAGAAAATTCCTTCATGTATCATTGCGTTCTTCATCACTTACTCTGACAGTACTGTCCTTCTTTCTTCATTATACCTCCTACAGTCTGTTGTGTTTGACAGTTTCTGATTTGTGCATAATCCAG